GACTGTAGAAGCATACTCTAAAATAGGTCGGACAAAGGCTTTATAGGCTTTTTCTTTCACGCTTGAGTTGCCGATCTTCAGATTGCGCCTTAGGAACCCCAGGGTCTTGTTTGCCCGGTTGCACACACTGTTAATGTGCTCGTCCCAGCGGACCTCTCTTTGGATGGTAACACCCAAGTACTTAACGGAGGAAACTGGCTCAAGAATATGGCCATGCAGTTCGTAAGAGTGGTTTAGAGGGAACCTGCTTCTGGAGACTGACAGGGTTTGGCACTTGACGGGATGAAATTCCATGTCCCAGCTTATCTCCCACTCAGCTAACCGATTGAGGTCTTGTTGAAGCTGGCTCTGGTCAGAGCTGTTGACCATTGAAAGTTAACTTTTCTGTTTCGACCGAAGCCGAAAGTTAACTTTTCTGTTCTGACCGAAACCGAAAGTGGTCAAATGGCAACTTTCGACGCTGAAACCGAAGCCGGATTCGAAATTCTGTCGGTCTCTATCGCCAACATACACTTTGCTAGGCGATACACTGTGACCAAGGAAAAGATAGGGCGAGCAGAGAGAGAGAGAGAGAGGGAAAGAAACAGACGGATGGCGTGGAGAGAGGGAAGGAGGGAGTGAGAGACGGAGAAAGGGGTGTGGGGTGGGGATATCTTTACTGAAGGGGGGCATTTTCGGCCACATGCAGAGTTTATTTTTTCTGTAATGACGTTGTGGGGGAGGGGAGCAACAATCTTGGCCGACACCTGGAGGCACTAACCCTAACAACATCACTGGATAAATATTGAAATGATTTTGCATTTCATTTTCAATCTCATTTGGCCCAATCACAGGAAAGGCAGTCATATTTTAAAGACTACTGCCCCTCTAGATATGCTTTGATTCTGAAATATACCCCTGATAAAATGACGAGATATAAGACGGGAGATGTCTTCTGTGGGTCTTTTTTTTTTTTTTTTGTAGGCCTCTTTAGTANCCCCCCCCCCCCCCCCCCCATGAATCACTTACTGTCGGACATACTATACCTAACTTAAAGGATGTTGATTTTTTTTTATTTTTCTTTAAAAGCTAGCTTTATTCTTGGCATGGACCATTTTTCGGAACATCTGAAAATAAATACAGACGGAACACAGAGACAAATAAAAAAAAAATAAAAAAAAAACAACAACACAATAACAACCGAACATGTTGACTCTTCAAGTCAGAGCTACTGCTCAGGTAAATATCTTATTGTTGACATGTATTGCTTTATGTTTTTCTGTTAGGAAGGACGGCAAACTGAAGGACCGCACCAGGAGGCACACACTTTGTTATACGCCCCTGTCTTGATAGGTACTCTCACGTGAAAGGAAAAGTTTATTAAGTCAACCCCACCGCCCACCTTGGTAGTGTGTAAGATATTGAGGACCGTTGTCCTTTGCTTAGAGACGGCCTTGCAAATATAGCAATGGATATTCCCGACATTGCTTTTAATTAAAGTTTTCTCAAAAAGATAGTTTTAATAATAATAATAAAAGACTATTTTGCTCCAGTCTTAGATTCAAGGTAAATACATTCGATATTTCAACAAAAATAAATATTGAACGTAGACACATAATGAACATATATTATAATCAACAAAAAATACATAAGTAAAACATAAATAAGATTACAAAATTATTTGTTTCAACATATTCATTGATATATTACTATTATGTGACGTTAACATGGCTTACTATCTCAGCAGTTGTGAACTGGGTCTCAATCAAACTATAGGTTGCTAGGAGAAATAAGTTCATATAACAGCTTATATGAACAAAAAGACATAATAATATTTCAATTTTATAATTTGAAAAAGTGTTCAGCGAATTTTTTTTAGGAGAAAATTGTGTATTTCTTAAAATAGTAATAGCATGGTGCATTTAGGTCAACTGAATATTTCATTATTTATTGCTATTATCAGAAGTTACTGATATTTAAATACATAATATACCTTAAACTATTGTATTTAATTTAAAAACAGGTATATTTAAAGTTTTCATTTTTACTCCAGGCCTCACAGTTTAAAATTAGGAAAGAGTCTTGTATGCAGTCCACCGTAGTAGAAGCAGAGCCATCGCGTAGGCACTGCAATCCTTGTATACCCCTGCAGAGGGGCTCCCATAATCAAGAGGCACAAAGTTGCGATGTAGGACAAATGTAAACTATCGACTGAATGCAAAAGAGCGGGTGAGGGGGGGGGGGAGAACCAGAAAGTAGAAGTGGGTCTCCAAAAGTCAAGTGATGGCTCCGAGTATAAATAATCGTTTGAGTTCAAAATATGATTTTTGAGAATCTTTGTATAATTATATGATTTCCTAATTTGATGAAACCGTAGGGTGTTCTCCTTGCCATACTGCAACCTTTCCTTTGTCGGACCTTTTGCAAGATTTTTTTTTTACCTTTGTAATAATAAGTGTTTTTTAAAAATAATGTTATTATTTAATCAAGGTTCTATTGCGAACCGAGGGCTTTACTTAAGCACCATTGACAGCTGAGCAGGAAGCACGAGCCGGCTTTAATAAACGTCAACATTTACATTTAGGATGTCCAACTTTGGTGAGTTTTTATCACATTTAAATTATGAAGCGATCTCAGTAATAATTACAAAAACTAATTAAACAACAACAACAAAAAATTGGTTACATGTCAATGCAGTTCAAGTGGAGGGAGGAGCTAAGGGATTCCCACCCTGGGCGCCAAGATCAAGGGGCGCTAAAATCTTCAATCGAAACACGAAAAAGAATATGTATACACAGTGCTTTTTTTTGTGAAAAAATAGGTGCCGGTACTCAGTGATGGATTGCCTAACTTTTAACTATCAGTTCGCACCTCGATGCAAGCTAAATCACAACTGCAAAGATACTAAATGGCTAAAACAATTTTATTTTACAATTAACCAACTTAAATTGTGTTATTTATTACTTTATTAGTATACCGTATACGTTTGTTATGATTTGTAAAATTTAACTAACAACTTATTTATAAGTTATTTTTGATTTACTTTAAAAAAAATTGTGTTAATTTCTCTTGTGTTTTATAGGGAAGAACCCCGTTAAAAATGAAAATGAAATATAAATGTTGAATAAATTATTCATAATAAATTCCAAAGTTTGATCAAGTTCTCATCTGACGTATACTCCCGACTGCGTTCTTTGCTGTTGGTATCTGTGGCTGAATGTCTGCCTCTAAGCAACCATGAATCAACGTATCTTGTAGGGTCAAAACGTACGAGTGGTGGTCCAACTAATCGCACATCAATCCGAGGTCTAGTACAAATTCACTAGAAGTAATCTTTCGCTGCAAACCTTCATACATGCATTGATCTTCTTAGTCTCTGGTTGAGTCAAGTTTTGCTTGTACAAAAACTTCACAATCTTCCCAAACTGCTAAAACAAAACGGAAGCTGGATGCCATACATCGTGTGCTTAACATTCTTCCAATTTTTAACAACTCAGCCTCTAACAAACGAGCACATATCTGCAATAATCTGCAATTTTTGGGTGAAGAATGATAAACTACATACAGTTTATCAATGAATGCCTTAAATCTGTTGATCCTTGAAACTTGTTTTACAACATCACCAACGGAGAGTTCCAGTCGGTGATTTGCACAATGCCAAACCAGAACCGATGGAAACTTTTCTTTTAGCAATATCTTGACGCCACTTTTGCTTCCCAGCATCACATGCAAGATAAACTAAGTTCCTTCTTAGAAAGTCTTCTGTTAACCCATAGAAATGAAGGCAGTGAAGCAAAGAAGCAAAAATTCCATTTGCGGTTACACTTTCGAGTTCTACCAAATCCAAGAATAAATTTACTGGTGATGTCATTCCACAGTCTGCAAGACAAACCCGAATATATACAATTAAAGTCGATTTTTGGCTAAGCGCAGTTGATTCGTCGATGATCAATGAAATTTTATTTGTTCGACCGTACAATTTCTTGTAACAATTTTTTCTCATTTCACAACTAATGTGATTCACTACATTTATGCAGGCATTGGTTGAATGAAGAATACGGCCCATCTCAACTCCGTTTAGTTCTTGCAAATCTATTTCAGATTCGAAATTATGAAACGCTTGGTTTTCTTTGGCTACTTTATATGCTGTACGAAAAATCTTTGTGGTTACGATTTTCTCACGAGTTAATAATGCCTTTAACAACACGTTCTCAATAGGTGTTGCCTCGGCTTCTTTTAGGATCTTAGGCGCAGCTTTGTGTGCCGCAGTTTATTTATGATCGAATAATTTCTTTCTTAAAGACATAAGCTGTTGTTGTCGATTAGTACCGAAGTAAGTTATTTTATTGTCGGCTCATTCGTTCGATACCTTCATTCCCATCTCTGCCTCGACTCCGAGATTGCCAACTTTTCGGCAAGGGATACAACCAAGTTTTTTTTTATTATGGATAGATAGCCAATCATATTTCACAAGGAAATAATTTCTTTGATCTAAAGTCCAGCAGGTATGCCAATCAGCATCTGCAGGCTGTAGTTGTTCAAAGTAACAGAGGAACCAATGATGATATCTGACGGCTTTGGTTCCGATAGTTCCATTAGGGTTTCTTCTGTGACATTGGATTCCACCGTTATTTCTTCAGTCAGTCTGGTTTTCTTACTTACCAGCAGAGTCCCAGTCGGAACATCGATTGAATGCGAAAAGAAATCAGAAATTTTCTTCATTTCCAAAGTGGGCTAAGAAATAATTATTACTTAAATTATCAATTTCTAGCTGCGCTCGTTTTAATTTCTTTAAATCTAAATTATTAAATTCAAATTTTGAAATTTTAAAGGCATTACGTCTTAAAAAACAACCATGACCGGAAATAGGTTAATAACCAATGACGTAACATTACGAGTTTGTGCGGAAAGCGGTTTCGCATTTTATATTTTAATTCTTATTGCGCGCAAGCTTAAAATAAATCAATTTTAACAAATTAATAATATAATAAATTAATAATAAACTTTAAAATATAAGAAAAGTAATAATTTTTTCCCCACATTCAAAAAGGTGCCGGTACGCCGTACCGGTGCATACCGGCACAAAAAAAGTAACGTGTGGGCATAATTATTCTTTTATTAAAGAAACGGGGTAGAAAATAGAATCGGCCATTTTCCAGACATTGCCTCCAGGCGCAAATTCTTTTCTTTAGCACCGTCCTGAACTTGTCTAATAAATAACTTCTGGCTCTGTAAAATAATTTAATTAGACATCTAGGAATTCCCTAAGTCTTTAAAAATGGTGTCTAATCATTGCAAAAATTGAATATAGCTTTGATTTACCTTAAATATGCATACAAATAGGCTACTAAGACTTGCTATATTGTATACCTACACTAAGGAAACTAAGACTGGCAATATCGTATGCCATGCCTACAATAAGGAATTTTAGACTGGTTAAATTGTTGCATGCAGTGGCTAGGGATGATGTCACCCGGTGAGGTAAACTCATGGTGTCAAACCCGCCACACCCCCCCCCCCCCCCAGGGCCTTCCACGATGGATTTATTCTTGTTAAAACAAATCCAACAATTGTAAAAATGACAAGAACAAAAACAAATTAATATAGGGTCAGGAGGAAAATCTATTTAAGAACTGTAGCATGCACACAGAATCACCGAAACACATCGTATTTGATATCAAAGCTTTTCGTCACGAAAGTTACCGAACATTTCAATCTGCGTTGAATCTTGGTCAAAACGAAGTTTTTCTCACCAAGTAATTGGTTCACCTCATTTCTGACGCATCAACCTTGAACTTTTAATAAAGCATGCATTTGGATTGTTTACATGTGGGGGATTATCCTTTTATGAAATAAGGTTAGACCGCGCAGTGTATGCTTTATAAATTTGCAATTTTTCAAGTTGGTGTCAGCCCCTGAAAAGGTGTCATCCGGTGCAGTCCGCACACCCGCCCTCCTAGCTACGCCACTGATTATATGCCTACACTAAGGGAGCTAAGACATATCATATTGCATTTGCATGCTTAAAAAAGGGAACTAGGACTGGCTATATTGTAAAATGTCACACAGCAAACCTAAATTTAAGATACGTTTCCTAAATAAATTTTTCTTTTTTTTTTGTGTAATGTGTTGCTTAAATTACCATTTTGATAATTATGTTAATTTTTCGGAAGATTTTGACCCCCAGCCTAATCTCAATATGAAGTTAAATCTATACTATATCATTGTCTACCAACGTGAGGGACCTTTCCGCATCTTCGACACTAGAAATAAGTAGAAAAAAATGCAAATTGATTCAAAGGAAGTAAAAACTAATAGGAAGGGTTCCTAATTGTGTATCTTTGTTTCAGAGGCGGACATTGAAGGATCTGAAACGGCAGTACTTTTCCCTGGGGAAGGTCAAACAGTTAAAAAGAAGGTTGACATTGCAGATGTCAATGGAACAGATTACACGGTTGCTGAGGTATTTGAAAAAGCAATATTTTATAGCAATTTAGATTGGAAATAATTAATCATTTATTGCTATTTACAATTATTGACACAGACATCACATTTTTTTGACAAAACTAATTAATTCAAATGATGAACTTGTTATTTGGCGAAATGATATTCAATAAAATGATAACAGAGAACACCTTTACAACTTATTTGGCAACATATGATCTAACTAATTATATGAACTTTCAATGTTTGTTTAAAAATAAAGAGAGTTCCCTTCTCTGAATTGAGATTTCTATTATTTGTTATAATTTCATGCTACGAAGCTTTAACATTTAAAAACGTAAAGACTGCACAAAAATTTCCTAAATTTGTTAGCAAGTCCATAAATATTTAGGGATAGGTCTGCAATTCGGAAGGTTCACCTTTTTGCCCCGTCATTCAATATTCAGCATAAAGACTTCCTTTGTGCAATCAAAAAATATAGTTAACGGTGCATTTAAGTCTTGTCAGGTTTCAACAGTACAATTGATAATTTTTGTTTTTTAAGTTGAAGTCTTATCCATTCTCCATTTCGTTTTTGTTTGCACTCATAAGAGGCGGCGTAGATACAATTGTTCCTTTATTTAATTTGCATGAAAACTCTTAACGTAGTCATTCTTAACGTACGATATTTAGTATCTGTACATTTTTTAGTTTAAGTTTTGTAAAGTATTACAGTAGATCTTCGATTTTCCGAACTCCTATTACTGCAAAGGTTTTTAACCTGTGGCGCCTGCACTTCCTGGGGGGAGGCAGTGTCATAGGGTGCGAATCAGGTTTATTTGCATTATTATTTGCATGCATTTTCTTTATAATGATGCAGCAGAAAATATGTTTGGGGTAGGGGAGGGGGGGGGGGGGAAATGTTTATAATCCTTTTATTAAATTTTTTTTATTCACTTCATTTTTTTAAAAAAAAAAAAAAAACACCCGAAATTCTTTTGTTCTATCTCGTTTTGTAAGGATTCGTATGGGTTCATGTTCCCCACAAATTGTTATTGTCGTTCGGTCTTAAAAAAGATCTTGGTATGTTTGTGTAAAGCAGTGTTTCACAACCTTTTTGTGCCATGCCCCACCAAAGACCTTTCTTATATTCTTATCCCTTTCATGTATCATATCTATAATTTTTAATATTAAAAAGAGGGCAGCTCACTGAAAAAACTTCAATGATTTTTACAATACTTTTAATGAACGCTTATTTTAAATTGAGACTTATACGATTCCCCTTGTAAAATATAAGTTAAAACATAGTGTACGGTTGGTTTTCAAAATCTAGACGGCTCATTTTTCGAATTGCCCCCTTAAACAATTAAATTCCCCCCCCCCCTTGTGTGGCGTGGGCCCCACGTTGGAAAACAAGGGTTTAAAGGGACACCGATTTTTTATTTACATTTAGTAAAGCACAGGATACTATTTCTGTAGGAACGCATGGGAATAACCTTCATGTACTTCTTTTGCTAAGAAATATATACATGTTGTTTTCAAGAAGGTGGAATCTTGGGTGAGTTCCCCCATTTTTCTCCAAGAACATGACTATTGGCAAATATTGTCAAAAGCAAAAAGTTATTCGTTTTTTTTCGATTTAGTTTTACAATACCTTGTTTTCCATACCAAATATTTAATTTAAAAGGGGCGATACGGATAACAGATGTTTCAAATGATCAAAGTTCGGAAAATCGACGCGTCGACTGTCATTGTTCCCATACAAGACTAATTTACAAAACAAAACCTTAACATTGTGTAGATGTTAAATAACTAACAGAAAGTTCATCTACACTGAGAGTTTTTTTTTATACAAAATATATGAAGGTACAATATCTTACAATCATGCCGCCTGCAGGAGGTTCAAAGTCATCATTTAAAATAATTCAATTAAGCAGAGTATATCAGCGGTTGTAATGGTCAAGAATTAATAGTAGGTGATTGTAAACATAATATGTTACCAAAACAATTTAGAATATGATTTTTGCCCAAACTAGTTGAATATAACACGTTTCAGTTAACCAAAAAAGACTGACGCGTAGGTGGGGATGCATCCAACATTGATGGTTCAATCAGTGGCGTAGCAAGGTGGGTGCCTGGGGTGCGGACCACACCCGTGTGACACCAACCCTAGCTACGCCACTGGGTTCTATATTGTAAATAAAATAAATAAAGTAACTTTAATTGTTATATTAGGGGTTTGTTTCAGCGTTTGAGAGCGATGGTTTTAACAGTAATCATTTCCTTTGTTTTATTGTAAATAAACCGCGCCTAAAGCTCGTGAACCTACTGCTTGCATACAGCCACCGCTATATTATATAATGATATCGTCATTTTAACAGGTCAAGAGACAGCTGTTGGCACCAAGGGGTATTGCAAATCCTGGAGATTACACGATGATTGGGTATGATTCTACCAATGGAAGAGAGAGTTTTCGGGACGACGCAAAAATGGTAGACTATAAGGACAAATATTTGACATCATCAACAAGCTATTTGACTTTTGATCTTAAGGATGTTTAGAAAGAGAAATTTTACTAAGCAGCAGACCTAGGACATCTTGAATGAAAGAAAAATAAATTGGATTATTAAAAAAGATAATATTGAATTTAAAAAAAAATATTTTAAAAATATTTATGGTCATACAGTAATTTGGATGTTTTAAAATAAAACTAAATTATAATTTTATTATTTTAACTTACCATTATCACCATCACCGTGCTGAAATAACTTCATATAAGTCTTCCACAGCTTTAATCTACACAGCAAAGTGACTTTAATTCAGTCCACACTCTTATCGTTGAGACACCGAAAAAAACAACATTAACAAATATTTAAAAATAGGGTATTTACAGATTGAATTTTTTTTACGATAGACAATAAAGAAACAATTTTGAGGATAATGTATACATTGCAGTGAATTTTAAAGAACTTTCAGAAAATATCATCTTGTAATGACATTTTTTTTATTGTTTAAACTTTTCTTTCAAAGTATATTTTAAAAATTGATTAACTGAGAAATTTTACTGAACGAAATAATTTTTAGTTATTTGAGTTGTCAACATAATTTTTTAAAAAATAAATAGAACACAAGATACTGAAAAATACGTGAATATTTCATTATTTATAAATTACGATGTAGAATTAATAAATTAAACACCCATAATTGCTGGATACAATAATAATATTTTAAAGCCTTAATTAAACAAAAGATGAGAAAAGAATCAACAATAAAACTGCACAAGATATCATCTGAAATAATGCTTGCTATTCATAGGCAAACATATTTTCTTAATGGACTTTCATGTTTTTTAGATTTACTTGCATCAATTTTTCTTGAAATACTAAATTCTTTTTCGCATTCATCAAGATGCGAAAACTGTTAATACATTTAAACAGTACTAACACACATTAATAAACAAATTTACTGAAATTATCAACATGGAAAATGATGAAGTGATCTATTTTTAGATGGATTAAATTAAAATTTTGTCCATAGAAGTACAATATATTCATTTTTGTCAAAAAATAATTGGACATTAAATAATATTATAAATTTTTATTGTTCATTCTATCTCATATATTGCCACTGTTAAATATTGTGTGCATGAATATGTTATTGTTATAAAAAAATAAATAAATTCTCTCCAGTCTTTATGTAGATGTTCTGAGGCGAGTCCAATTTAGGCCCAGCCTAAGTGCCACTGAAGAGCACAATTCCATCTCCACGCAAACGTTTGTTGTTTTGGCTACAAAATTATACGAAATGCAATTTATATCTGACATATCGCCTTTTAATTGTCCTCGAACAAATGGGATGTCATTGTATCCATTACAGACGGTTTTGAACATTTGGATAAACTTAATTATTCCAAGCAACTTTAATGTCAAACCAGTAAAAGTCTCTATTTCAAATAAGATATTATCGTTCGAAATGTGAAATCAAACAACCCCTAATAACAAAGTTTTTCGTATAAATCCTTTACAAAATGTATTATCTAGCAATGAGGTTGGGGTGGGGGAAGGAGGAGCTGACCATTTGACAGAACATGCATACAAGTGACACACTTTATAAGAATCCCAATTAGTGCTCCCAAGCGCACTTTTTTTCAAGCACATGAACTCTATAAATTTTCTAATGACCCAACCTATGTTACAACTCAAGTTTTTATTTCACCAACTGTTTCAGAAAAACAAAAGAAAATATTACGCACCATAAGCAATGCAATCTTTTTTTAAAAAAAGAATCTAATTTAGCGTAATAGTCGTACATTTTATTTGGTAAAATCAGCGTCATCCTATTTCATTTAACTTAAATTTGAAAGAATTTGTTGTCATCGGTAACGAGTCTCTTTGTCGAATTTCAGCTCGATAGATTGACGGAATGAGTCAATTATCGTCCAAAAATTTGCCAGGGAGCCAGCCAGACACGAACAGAAACAAAGTTAATAAAGGATTGAAAAAAATAAATAAATCTTGTAATTTTAGCTTACCCAAAATTAATATTTTTACATGATTATCGTAAACCGACCACCGACCCGTTGAATATGTAAACCCAATATTATGCTCCTAGCGAACTCCCTTAGTATTCCACTTTTGTCTTCGCCGAGTTTATATTCAGCTCTGCGTCGTTTTGACACATTTAGCCACCTCGCTTCTCTTTCTGTGTAGTGGTTCTTGTGACGTCACCTGTCTACTTTCTGTGGGTCTCTCGAAGCATACTAGAAGGACTGAGAATACTATTTGAACCTCTAGATTGGAACCTTTCTGTCCTCGGATAGAAAATATATGACGGAAGACCTTTCAGAATTCTTACAGACTGATTGTGTGTGTGTGGCTACTTATTTTAATAAGAAATGTTCCATCGTCTGTGCATTTGTAAACTAAAGTAAATGTGCTTATAACTATAACACATGTTTTTGTAGCTCTTAACTAATTGATTTTTTTGTAGTTCCATTGAAAAATTTATTAAAATTCTTTGGTTTTTATAATTATCTTTTACCTCTTTGTTGTTTGTTTTATGTCATGTCTAAGTGAGACCCTAGAACCATAACCCATGGGCACTCTCTAGAAGCAGTCCCTCGAGGATGGGCGCCCGTAGAAAACTGTCTGGGGGGGGGCAAAAAATCGATTAACTTTCCAGGTGGAGGGGGGGGGGCAAACATTTTTTGGTAATGTTTTAATGTAGTTTTAATTTACTGTAGCGTATTTGTATGGTGTAACGAACGGACAGGACATCAGCTTAGTTACTTTCTCTTTATTTTCTCTTTACTTTAATACATTTTTTGTCTATTTTTGTCTAAATTTTTTTAATTCAATCAATCCAGGGTGGGGGGGGGGGCAAGTGCCCCACCTTGCCCCTACCTGCGTGCGCCCATGCCCCCGAGTATCTTGAATATGCCGATGACGTAGCACTGTTACGGAAAAGTAGTTTAAAAGATCTCAATGAATTAGAAGACGCATCACTACAAGCAGGGCTGCAAGTTAACAACCGAAAATACATGACTATTAAGAGTAGAACAGACAGATGATACCATAAAACACACTTTAAAAGAAGGAAATCAATTCAAATACGTAGGAACTTTATTTGATTAAAAAATGAATTAAATACAGAAAAAAAAGAAAGAATATCGACCGGAAAAAGTAAAAACATTACATATAAACATTAAAAGTAAACACAATACAACTCGGCCATGTTGGCTACAAGAGAAACCGATCGACTCCACCAGCCATTTCAAGGAGTACGGGCATGGGCGCCCGCAGGTAGTGGCAAGGTGGGGCACTTGCCCCCCCCCCCTTGATTGATTGGATAAATTTTTTTTAGACAAAAATAGACAAAAAATTTATTAAAATAAAGAGAAAATAAAGAGAAAGTAACTAAGCTGATGTCCTGTCCGTTCGTTCACCATACAAATATGCTACAGTAAATTAAAACTATATTAAAACATTACTAAAAATTTTTTGCCCCCCCCCCCCCTGGAAAGTTAATTGATTTTTTTTC